GCTCACATGCAGAAATCTACCAACAACAGATGCTGGTGAGGATGTGGGGAAAAAGGGACACTAACCCACTGTTGGTGGGAATGCAAACTGGTCAAGCCACTATGGAAGTCAGTCTGGAGATTCCTCAGAAACCTGAAGATAACCCTACCATACAACCCAGCCATCCCACTCCTTGGAATTTACCCAAAGGAATTTAAATTGGCAAACAAAAAAGCGGTCTGCAGCCTAATGTTTATTGCAGCTCAATTCACAATAGCTAAGACCTGGAACCAACCTAAATGCCCATCAACGGTAGACTGGATAAAGAAATTATGGGATATGTACTCTTTAGAATACTATACCGCAGTAAGAAACAACGAAATCCAGTCATTTGCAACAAATTGGAGGAATCTGGAACACATCATGCTGAGTGAAATAAGCCAGTCCCAAAGGGACAAATACCATATGTTCTCCCTGATCGGTGACAACTGACTGAACACCAAAAAGGAAACCTCCTGAAGTGAAATGGACACTATGGGAAAGGGTGACTTGATCAGCATAGCCCTGACTGTTAATGAACAACTTAATACATTATCCCTCTTAGTAGTTTTTTTGTCTGTTCTACTTAATATGACTGGTTTAATTCTGTAATTAATACACAGTTATTCTTAAGTGTTAAAAATTAACTGAAATGTGATCCCTGTTAAACATAAGAGTGGGAATAAGAGAGGGAAGAGATGTATAATTTGGGACATGCTCAATTGGACTTGCCCCAAATGGTAGAGTTAAAAACATACCAGGGGATTCCAATTCAATCCCATCAAGGTGGCATGTACCAATGCCATCTCACTAGTCCAAGTGATCAATTTCAGTTCACAATTGATCATAATGAAAGGACTAAGAGTCAAAGGGAGCACATAAACAAGTCTAGTACCTGCTAACACTAACCGATGGAATAAATAAAGGGGAGAGTGATCCAACATGGGAAGTGAGATACTCAGCAGACTCATAGAATGGCAGATGTCCTAAATAGCACTCTGGCCTCAGAATCATCCCTAAAGGCATTCGGATCTGGCTGAAAAGCCCATGAGAGTATTTCAGGCATGGAAAGCCAAGACACTCTGGCAAAAGATCTCTGCGAGTGAGATCCCAGTGGAAAGAACAGGTCTTCAAAGAAGGAGGTACCTTTCTCTGAAGGGAGGAGAGAACCTCCACTTTGACTATGACCTTGTCTAAACAAGATAAGAATCGGAGAACTCAGAGGGCTTCCATAGCCTTGGAAACTCATGACTGGAGCATAGGGAGACTACTGATGCCATAGACAGGAGTGTCAATTGGTAAAGTCAACAACAGGAGTCACTGTGCACTTACTCCTCATGTAGGATCTCTGTCCTTAATGTGCTGTGCATTGAGATTTAATGCTATAATGAGTACTCAAACAATATATTTCACTTTGTGTTTCTGTGGGGGTGCAAACTGTTGAAATCCTTACTTAATGTATACTAAACTGATCCTCTGTAAAAAAAAAAAAAAAAAGAAAAAAAAAGAAATTACAATAGGTCTGATCTGATTTCATCATCATTTAAAAAAAAATCATCTATTATTTTTCACTTTATGTTTCTGTGTGGGAGCAAACTGTTTAAATCCTTACTTAATGTATACTAAGCTGATCTTCTGTATATTAAGATAATCGAAAATGAATCTTGATGTGAATGGAAGGGGAGAGGGAGTGGGAAAGGGGAGGGTTGTGGGTGGGAGGGACGGTATGTGGGGGAAGCCATTGTAATCCATAAATCGTACTTTGGAAATTTATATTCATTAAATAAAAGTTAAAAAAAAATATCCTTAATCACTCCAATCACCTCAAAAAAAAAAAAAACCCACACTGCCCTATACAAATAGAAGCATGGATAAAATGGATTAGCCAAGAAGTCATGCAGTAGACAGTTGTGCAAAGGTGTAGGAGATGATAATGATATCTGATAAATAATTATAAAGAGTAGGTAATTTGGGTCTCTACTACCATTCTGCCCAAAAGCTACTGGCTGAGTCTGATCTATGTAGCTTTTGGCAGAGAGGAAATGGGAGCCCCAGTGACTTGTAGAGGTCACATGTCCAGTGGGCATATAAACCAGTGAGAGGCACCCTATCCCTAAAGGAGAGAGCATGGCATGGAGAGTGGGAGGTGGCCTCACACTGGGTATGGGACCATGAGCAGTGTGAGGAGGGCTCTATAATAGGATGGTGATCTGGCTCCAAGTATCAGGAGTAAGAATCAGGAGGGTTTCCATGCAGAAATCCACCAGTGAAGAGAATCATATCCAGAGTAGGGAAATACAGCCATTTGTGCAAGGGAAAATGGTGACAGTGGAACAAGATTTGTTGCACTCGGGATATTGATATTAAATTAACCAGTATACTAAGAACAATGATAGCCAGGGCTAGATGTTGTGGCACAGAGAGTTAAGCCACAGCTTGAGATGCCCATATCCCGTATCAGAGTGCCTAGTTTGAGTCCCGACTATTGTGTTTCTGAGCCAGCTTCCTGATAACGCACTTGGGAATGGTCCAGGTACTTGAGTTCCTGCCACCCACATGGGAGGCTTGGAAGCAGTTCTTTAATAAAAAAAAAAAAAAAAAGATGTATTTATTGTATTTGAAAAACAGAGATACAGAGAGATAAGGAGAGAGAGAGAGAGAGAGCGCGAGTGAGCACATGCCTCCATCCACTGATTGACTCTACGAATGGCTGCAATGGCCATGGCTGGGTCAGGCCGAAGCCAGGAACCAGGAGCTTCCTCCAGGTCTCTCACACGGGTTCGGGGCCCAAGCACCTGGGCCATCCTCTGTTGCTTTTCCCAGGCACATTAGCAGGGAACTGAATAGGAAGTGGAATAGCTGGAACTCAAACTGGTGCCATATGTTATGCCAGCACTGCAAGTGGAGGCTCAACCTTCTACACCACAGTGCTAGCCCCACTGGATGGAGTTCTTGACTCCTGGCTTCAGTCTGTCCCAGCCCCAGTCGTTGTGCCCATCTGGGATGTGAACAAGAAAATGGAAGATATCTCCTTCTCTCTCTCGCTCTCGCTCTCAGTCTCACTCTCACTCTCGCTCTCACTCTTGCTCTGTCACTTTGTCTTTCAATGAAGTATTTTTTCTTTTTAAAAGATAAAGAATCATGGTTAAGAGTTAGATGATAGACAGATAGATGATAGAAAAATACAAATGTAAATGTATATACATATACACAATACTAAACCTTTATCTGGGTTTAGCCTTCCGGGGTTTCAGCTATCCTCAGTCAACAGTGATTCAAAAATAAGAGTACAGTACAATGCAATAGATATTTTGATCTAAAGAGAGCTCACATTTCCATAATTTTTATTAAAATATATTGTTACAATTAGCATTTTATATTAGTTATTATTGTTAATAGCTTACTGTGCCTAATTTTTCAACTGAACTTTTTCATAGGCATATATGAGTAAGAAAAAACAGTGTATATATAGGATTTGGTATTATCCATGGTTTCACACATCCACTGGGGGTTTGGAACAGAGACTTGGTGCCTAAAACAATAGAAATTTATTGCTCACAGTTCTGGGGGTTGGCAAGCCCAAGATTTAAGTGTCTGCAGATTCAGTTCTGGCTAGGACTTTCTTCCCGGCTTGTAGACGGCTGCCTTCTTGTTGTGTCATCACACAGCCTTTTCTCAGTATGCTTACATGGAGATTACATGGAGACATTCTCTTTCTCCCTTTTCATTTTAGGCCACCAGTTCAATCAGATTAGTATCCCCACGCTTAATGACCTCAGTTAACCTTTATAACCTCCTAAAAGCCCTTCTCCAAATCCAGGCACACTGGAGCTTACAGCACGTGAACTTGGGGGAGTGGGTGAGGTACAATGCAGTCCACAAATTGTACATATAAGGGTATTTCAAACAGTTCATGGAAAATCAGATTAAAATATGTTTATTTTGCTGCAACAAATTATTATTAAAGTTCTTGTATAAGAGAGGTTTCAAAAAAGTTCATGTAAAGTGCGCAGTATAAAAAATGTTTATGGATGGATTTCAAAAAATGTTTGCACCAGACTTTCCATTTACTCTTTTTTTTAAAGATTTATTTATTTATTTGAAAGTCAGAGTTACACAGAGAGAGGGGAGGCAGAGAAAGAGAGATCTTCCATCCACTGGTTCACTCCCCCAAAACTGGCTGCAATAGACGGAGCTGCGCCAATCCTAAGTCAGGAGCCAGGTGCTTCTTCCTGGTCTCCCATGCGGGTGCAGGGCCCAAGCACTTGGGCCATCCTCCACTGCCTTCCCAGACCATAACAGAGAGCTGGATTGGAAGTGGAGCAGCCAGGTCTCAAATTGGCGCCTATATGGGATGCTGGTGCTTCAGGCCAGGGTGTTAACCCGCTGTGCCACAGTGCCGGCCCCTCCATTTACTCTTATTTCACACGAATTTTTTGAAGTGTCCTCCCATGTGCCTATAGATTAGGAGATCTTAGGTTATCTAAAATTACTATGATCAAGTATTTCAAGTCTGGTGACTATAAACTGTGTCAGAGCTTTTGATTCTCTCAGTTAGGCTGGTCCACTATGATGCTTGCATGAGTATACATACACCCAGTGCCCAGATCTTCATTTCTCATATCATCCTCTATTACAGGAAAAGCCAGAACTTTCATGTTTAAAAACAAGTGGCTGATTTCAAGGCTAGGTTAAAAAAAATGTATAAGGTATAAGCTGAGCCTTAAACATATTTGTGGTCAGGAATAATGAAATGCTCAATGATGGGCACATGACAAAAGGTCACTGAAGCTGGATTGAAAGGGCTCCCTTGGGCTAAATTCTGGATCATTTGAGCCTCAAAATATATAATGACATTCATCCATGATAACCATTGAATAAAATCAAGCTCCATGAATCCATAACAACTAGTTTACCAATTACATATATTGGAATTTAAAAAATAGCATATTTGTGAAAGAAAGAGAAAGCCCATCCACTGGTTTTCTTTTTTTTTTTAACTTTTATTTAATGAATATAAATTTCCAAAGTGCAGCTTATGGAGTACAATGGCTTCCCCTGCCATAACGTCCCTCCCACCCGCAACCCTCCCCTTTCCCACTCCCTCTCCCCTTCCATTCACATCAAGATTCATTTTCAATTCTCTTTATATACAGAAGATCAGTTTAGCATACATTAAGTAAAGATTTCAACAGTTTGCACCCACACAGAAACATAAAGTGAAAAATACTGTTTGAGTACTAGTTAGAGCATTAAATCTCAATGTACAGCACACTAAGGACAAAGATCCTACATGAGGAGTAAGTGCACAGTGACTCCTGTTGTTGACTTAACAAATTGACACTCTTGTTTATGGCATCAGTAATCACCCTAGGCTCTTCTCATGAGCTGCCAAGGCTATGGAAGCCCCCTGAGTTCACTGACTCTGATCATATTTAGACAAGGCCATGGTCAAAGTGGAAGTTCTCTCCTCCCTTCAGAGAAAGGTACCTCCTTCTTTGATGACCCATTCTTTCCACTGGGATCTCACTCGCAGAGATCTTTCATTAAGGTTTTTTTTTTTTTTCCCCCCAGAGTGTCTTGGCTTTCCATGCCTGAAATACTCTCATGGGCTTTTCAGCCAGATCCGCATGCCTTAAGGGCTGATTCTGAGGCCAGAGTGCTGTTTAGGACATCTGTCATTCTATGGGTCTGCTGTGTATCTCACTTCCCATGTTGGATCACTCTCCCTTCTTGATTCTATCAGCTAGTATTTGCAGACACTATTCTTGTTTATGTGCTCCCTTTGGTTCTTAGTCCTATCATTATGATCAATTGTGAACAGAAATTGATCACTGGGACTAGTGAGATGGCATTGGTACATGCCACCTTGATGGGATTGAATTGGAATCCCCTGGCATGTTTCTAACTCTACCGTTTGAGGTAAGTCAGCTTGAGCATGTCCCGAATTGCACATCTCTTCCCTCTCTTATTCCCACTCTTGTATTTAATAGCGATCACTTTTCAGTTAAGTTTCAGCACTTAAGAAGAATTGTGTATTGATTACAGTATTCAACCAAAAGTATTAAGTAGAACAAACAAACAAAAAAAATACTAAGAGGGATAACATATTAAGTTGCTCATCAACAGTCAGGGTGAGGGCTGATCAAGTCACCGTTTCTCATAGTGTTCATTTCACCTTATCAGGTTTCCTTTTTGGTGCTCAGTTAGTTGTCACCTATCAAGGAGAACAAGTGGTATTTGTCCCTTTGGGATTGGCTTATTTCAGTCAGCATAATGTTTTCCAAATTCCTAACAGGGATCACTTTTCAGTTAAAATTTAAACACCTAAGAATAATTGTGTGTTAATTACAGAGTTCAACCAATGGTACTAGAACAAAAAAAAATACTAACATGGATAAAGTATTACATTGTACATCAACCATCAGGACAAGAGCTGATCAAGTCACTGTTTCTCATAGTGTCCATTTCACTTCAACAAGTTTCCCCTTTGGTGCTCAGTTAGTTGTCACCATCCACTGGTTTTCTTTCCAAATGCTGTGGACTCAGGAACTCAGTCTAGATTTCCCACGAGGTTGACAGGAATGTAACTACTTGAGCCATCACCTGCTGCATTCCAGGGTGTGCATCAGCAGGAAGGTAGAATTCAGAATAGAGACGGTCCTCAAGTGTAGGCACTTTAATATGTGACACACGCATCCCAAGTGGCATGTTTGCTGCTGAGCCAAACACCCACCCCTACACTGGAATTTTTATAAGGAGTAGTATATTTTTATCATTTACTACAAAAACTTTCTCTTCCCCCAGGTTTTTCTTCTTGATTCTCCTCTGCTGCTGCCCCAAATCGCTCTGTATTGCTATTCCTTAATCTCTAGCCTCAGCTTTGAGCATTTCTCACACTAAGTAGCCAATGAACAAACTCAGCTAATGTTTAAACTTGGGGGGTCCTCCTAGATTCTCATTTTCCCTAAGACACCTACAGACAAATAGTAAATGTGTTTTATCAACTTTATTTTCTTACCATATCTCAAAATTTTCCCATCTATTCTGACCTAACTACTTCTGTACTACTACAAGCCTAGATTACTGCTGCCTTTCCAACCTTCCTGCTTCCATTTCATTTATTAATGTATTCTGCCATTCATTCAGCAAATACATATTTAAGTTCAATTAGGCATTGGCACAAGACAGAGAATTCTGTCCTCAGCTAATTCATGAACTAATTTAATGAATGATTACAAAATTGACCCTGTAAGTACAATTGGGATGACTGATATGAAGGAGACTATAGGACTTATGAGAAGATATAACTAATAAAAAGGATCTAATGAGGAGGATTATCAAAGTCATTTCCAATCACAGCATTTGAGCTGTGATCTGAAAATAGGTATGGGATAGAAAATCCCAAATGATGTATATTGTACATTCAAACTCACCAAGGCAGGGAAGAGCAGGGTACATTCTAGAAACCAAAACAAGCCAGTACAGCTGAAGAACTTTGAGGGAGGCAGAGAAATTCTTGGGAATAAAAATTGACTTGAGTTTTGATGTACTAGACCTGGTGCTGTTAGGGAGCGGGGGGGGGGGGGGAGGTGAGTATCCAGGATGACCTCTGAAGTTCTGGTTTTAGCTACTAGTTAGAGGAACACCCTGTTTGCTTAGAAAAAGAACATCAGAGAGATCCCAGCCATACATTGCAGTAGAATGCATGATAAAGAACATCAGTTTACTTTCATTTGCCTATAGAGAGCCTGGCAGTGGTGACATATGGAGCTCAGAGAATGCATAGATAGAAAAAGGAATTGGAGAGCAGTTATGAAAATAAGAATGTGCAGAGACTGGGAAGTCAAAGAAGCTAAAGGAAGGAGGCTTTTCTGAACGCAGGAAGTGATGAATAATCCCAATTTCCACTGACATGTCAGAGAATAGTAACTGAAATATGTCCATTGGAATTAACCACACGAAGGTCATTGTGCTTGTACAATAAATTATTTCAAACTCTCAGACGATAGTAGGTGACACACCTGACTATCTCACCTCCACCCCGAGGTACTTCATCACATCACTTTCTCACTGCACTGCTACCAAAGCCCCTTCAGAAAGAGTGTCCTTTATTTAAGCCCCAACTCAAATTTCTTCCATCGATGATCCATTTAACTTTGTGTTTTGATTTACGTGCATTGTGATTTTTGCACATCCTCATCTCTCCCTATTAAAAATATTAGCTCTTTGAGGGCAAGGATTATATTTTATTCATCTTTGCTTCAGTAGTGGCTTGCACATGGGAAGTAAACATGTGTTTAGCTGTATTTTTCAAATTTTCTGTTACTCACGAGATGCTTTGCAATGGATTTTTCATTATCCTGTTTCTCTTTTCATGTGCATTTCTGAAAGAGGCTGACAAGATGTTTCCGAGTGAGCTTTGCCAGGTGTCAGCACATTCGTGGAGTCACCATGGATACACAGTCTGCTTTTCAATTTTGTAAATCAGGAATCTTAATCTCACCAGTTAATCTAGTGATGGACAGGTTCTGTAAAGAATTCATTAAAATCAAGTTACCAAAATATATGCATACATAAACACACACACACACACACACACACACATTCATGCTTTGAAGATGACATACGTCCACATGTTAAATATTCTGAATTAAAGAGTGGTCTGGGGGCCAGCACTGTGGCACAATGGGTTAAAGCCCTAACCTGAAGTGCCGGCATCTCATATGGGTGCCAGTTCTAGTCCTGGCTGCTCCTCTTCCAACCCAGCTCTCTGCTATAGCCTGGTATAGCAGTGGAATATGGGCCAAGTCCTTGGGACCCTGCACCCACGTAGGAGATCTGGAGGAGGCTCCTGGCTCCTGGCTTTGGATTGGCGCAGATCCAGCCATTGTGGCCATCTGGGGAGTGAACCAGCGGATGGAAGACCTCTCTTTCTGTCTCTACTTCTCTCTGTAACTCTGGCTTTCAAGTAAATAAAATAAATCTTTTAAAAAAAAAAAAAAGAGTGGTCTGAATGATCACGAAACATAGACGAAGTAATAAACACATGAAAATATTCAGCTCTTACATGATTTCCATACTTTATACTTTAAAAAAAAGGGAAAAGGAGTGAGAAGGATTGAATCTGAAGATACAGTGAGACTATATGATGAGGTAGGAAGAAAATAGTGTACTCAAAATAAAAAGATCAAGGTACCAATTCCAAGTATGGTTTGATGAGTTTCTTTATCAATTAATGAGGAATCACAAAGCCTACCAAATAAGGGATTATTATGAGAATTCAATTATTCAACTTGTGATAAGTTTCTGGATACACTGTATCCAGATCTGAAGCCAGGAGCCAGGAGGTTGCAGGGGCCCAAGGACTATAAATACTGATTTACATTCTTTTAACCTTCTTCATATCAATATATCAGATTATATGTCCTTTTGTCCCAATTTCTGTTTAGACTAGGAAACATGCTATCTTCTACTTCTTACATGATCTCTCTCTGAAAAACTATTTCATTTATCAACATTTTCTGGAATCATAGAAGTATCAGATTCCAGAAACAGGAAAGTGAACACCATCATCATTATTCAAAATCAAATGTAAATTCATGACCAACAGACCCAACCTGAATGCCAAGTCCACATTATCAAAGCAAGTCAGAACAACCCATAGTCAACTTTGACCAAGAGAACTCCCCATAGGCAAGTGAATATTCTATACCTATTTTATCTAGAGATGTTGTAGTTGGCACATGTTGTTATAGAACATTTTCTAAAGATTTATTTATTTATTTGAAAGTCAGAATTACACAGAGAGGAGAGGCAGAGAGAGAGAGAGAGAGAGAGAGAGAAAGTCTTCCACCCGATGGTTCACTCCCCAACTGGCTGCAATGGCCAGAGCTGCACCAATCTGAAGCCAATAGCCAGGAGGTTCTTCCAGGTCTCCCACGTGGGTGCAGGGGCCCAAGGACTTGGGCCATCTTCTACCGCTTTCCCAGGTCATAGCAGAGAGCTGGACTAGAAGTGGAGTAGCTGGGCCTTGAAACGGTGCCCAAATGGGATGCCAATGATTCAGACCAGGGCATTAACCTGCTGCGCCACAGTGCCGGCCACATGTTATAGAACATTTGTAACACACTCTTTCAGGTTCTGAGCCTTGCTAATCTACCATGATGCTTAATTTTCTGTTCCTGGATCATGCAGCATGCAGACATTTAGTTAAACATTATTTCTGGGTGCACTGTGAGGGTGTTTCCAGATGAGATCAGCTTTGGAATCAGTAGACTGGCCAAAGGGAATTGCCCTCACTAATGTGAGTGGGCTTCATTCAGTCAGGTGAGGGAATAAGGAGAACACAAAGGCTGACCCCTCTTTGAGGAAGAAGAAATTCTTCCTGTCTGGCTGTGTTGAGCTGGGATGTCAGTTCTTTCCTGCATTTGGAGTCCAGCTAGCCATGAATTCTTCCTAGATCTTCAGCCTGAGGGCTTTCTGTTGGGAACTATACCATCACTGATCCTGTGTCTCTCTAGCTTGCCAATAAGAGATCTTGGGACTTCGTAGTCTCCACAGTAGTAGCAGTCAATCGCATACTTCCTGTTGCCTTTTTTTCTGTAGAGAATCCTGATTAGTGCCTACCCTGGAGAAACTGACAGAGCTTTGTGTGGATCTTGGCAATGGCATAGTGACTGAACAAACTCATTGTACATTATCCTCAACACTTGCTACCTCAGTCCATGTATCCAGCTATCTTGATGGATGTAGCATGATTAATGCATACACTCAGTATACATATTTAGAAGCCTTGGCTGGCCTTTGCATATTTTCCAAGATACACAGATATACAAATTTCTGAACTGTTTCTGCAACAACAGGTACTGCAAATTTTCTCCTTGTCTGCCAAATCCAGTAGTAACATGATTCTTTTTTCATGTTTGCAGCATTACATTTATAAGAAAATGCTTAATCCATCTCAGAAGTGCTTATTAAAGACACTGTAGAAGCTAAAGCATGCATTTTGAAATTCAATCATTTCAACAATGTCTCCCCAGGCATCTCCCTCTCTCTCCTCTCTCTCTGTCTCTCTCTCTCTCTCTCTCTCTCCACACATGGCAATCACATACTAGTGGCATCCATAAACATTTAAATAAGAAGAGGAGTGTCATATTTTGTTTAAAATTAAAATATATTAATCTTATTGTATAGGAGATAGTTTGAATTTTAGTTAGCTAGCTATTGTCAAAATCTGCAGTACACTTTATTTCCTAGTAACTTATTTGCAGTGGAAATTTTCTTCTGAGAAAAACTAATATATTACCAATGGTTCATTTTGCGTTATCTTTCAGAAGTTGGTTAACAAATTATCCACAGTATGAACTTTCAACTAAATAAAGTTTCCAAAGACAACACATTGGAAAAAAATAGCATTTTACATATTAGCATGCTTTAGTCAATGAAACAATATTGATCACAGATAGAAATTTTGATGAGAATTTCCTCCTATCTGTTAAACAGGCCTGGGTAAATGACAGATTGATAAATTGACTCTGTCTCTCCCTTATGTCTAAAGGAAAATAAATAAGTCTTTCTAGTCTTTGGGATCATAATTTTCACAAAAGGGAAAATCATAATTCTAATGCAGATACAAGAATGAACAGATGTTAAGGTTGTTATTTAACTCATAGTGAGGGAACCAGGCAGACATTACAACTGGTTCAAAAAATAATCCAAAAATCAGAAATATGCATAGGCCGGGAATACTGAAGTCAATGTGCAAATGAACACAAAACTCTTTCCACAAGGATGGGAGGGACAATGAAGTCCACCAAGCCTCTCCTCAGACAGGAAACAATTTTATGCCTATGGACAAGAACATTTTGCATTCTTATCAGCTATCTACATTTTACAGAGTCATAAAATAGCTTCCATAAAATCAGAAACAGAAAACCCAAAGGGATATAATAATGTAGAGTCTAGTCAATCTCTAATTTCCCACCAAAGCACAAGTTTTTCTTTTTTTTTAAGAGGGTAGAGTGAGGGAGAGGGAGGGAGAGAGAAAGAGGTCTTCCAGCCACTAGTTCACTCCCCAATTGGCTTCAACAGCTGGAGCTGTGCCATTCCAAAGTCAGGAGCTTCTTCTGGGTCTCCCACAAGGTGCAGAGGCCCAAGGACTTGGGCCATCTTCCACTGCTTTCCCAGGCCATAGCAGAGATCTGGATCAGAAGTGGAGCAGCCAAGACTTGAACCGGTGCCCATATGGGATGCCGGCTCTTCGGGCAGTGGCTTTACTTGCTACGCCACAGCACCACCCCAAGTTTTTCTTTACATTCAAAAATGTAAGCCCTAACCTGCTCCCTAAACCTGTCAATGAGCAAAATTATCAGCAACAAATTGGATTTGACGTTTGAGCATATTCCAACCAAAGATTACATACAGCTCCAAAGGAATAAGTTAACATGTCACTCCTTACTCCAGCACAGAGCTCCTCCAAGACTCACATTAATTCTAAGTTAAAAATAACCAACTGTCCAGATTTTTGAGAGATTTGATTCATTGCAGTAGGCATAGGTAGCTGATGAGAGATGACTGGAGAGAAAGAGAAAGCAGAATTAAGTACATCACCATTGCTGTCTAACCACCCCATCACCTGTGATTTATTCTCAATGTTTCCAGGACATTTCCCAGAGGAAGGTGGAAGCTAGAACGAGGCAGGAAGAGAGGGAGAGAATGATCATAGATTTGACCTAAATGAAGTTTCTCCTTGTCAACTAGTGTTTTTGTTTAATATTATCAATAACATTCTTATCAATGATATTTCAGACATTAATTAACATTAATGGGGATATTGTGGTGCACTAGATTAAACCACTGCTTGGGACACCCACCTACCATATTGAAGTGCCTAGCTCAAGTCTAGGATCCTCTGTTTCTGGTCCAGATCCTCAATTAATGTGCCTGGGAAGGCAATGGATAAAGCATCCATTAATTAATGTGCCTGAGAAGGCAATGGATAAAGCATCCATTAATTAATGTGCCTGAGAAGGCAATGGATAAAGCATCCATAATTGGGTCCCTTCTGTCCATGTAGAAGACTGGATAGAGTTCCCAACTCCTGGCTTCTGTTTGCAGCACCAACATCCCATATGGAAGCCGGGGAGTGCCAACTGCTCCACTTCCTATCCAGCTCTTCTGCTTAAGCAGCAGAAGATGACCCAAGTGGTTGGGCCCCTACACCCACATGGGAGACCAGGGAGAAGCTCCTGGATCCTGGATCCTGGATCCTGGCTTTGACTTGGCCCAACACCAGCTTCTGTGTGGTGAGCATTTGAAACGTAAATCAGCAAAAAGAATATCTCTCTCTCTTTCTCTCTCTCCTCTTTCTCTGCCTTTCAAATAAATAAATTTTTAAATGACCTGAGATTTTGAAAAATTGTTAACAACCCTAGGATCTGAGGCTCATTTGCAAGTGAAAAAGTCTATTTCTCTCTTTTTTTAAGATTTTATTTGAAAAGTAGAGTTTTTGAGAGGTGGAGTTACAGAC